ATCTTGAAAAATAGTCTACAACAACCAGAAGGTGTACACCATTCGAAATTTCTGTAAAGTCTAATGCTAATTTCTGCCATGGCCCTGCTGGTAAAGGTACTCTTACCATTGGTTCAGTCACTGGATTTGAAACCAATAAGCATCCGTTACATGCTCTTACAAACTTTTCAACCATCGTATCGATCCGAACCCACCATACCTTTTCCCTCAACCTTTTCTTCATTGCGACAATGCCTAGATGAGGTTCGTGGGCAAGCATTAGAACCCGAATCTGCAAAGCTTTTGGCACAATAATTTTGTTGTTTTTCAAAACCAGTTCTCCGTCTGTAGAGAGATCGCTTGAAATCAATTTGTACCGGATCAACGTTTTAGGCCATCTTTTCTGCGGATATGGTAGCCAGCGTATGAGTTCTTGTAATTCAATATCATTCCGAGTTTCTTGAATAATCTCAAAAAGCGAGACAGCAACGGGACAAACATCAATGGATACTAGTCGTACAATTCTTCCACTCTCTTCGTCATAACTTTCATCTTGATCTGGTGTTCCCTGACAGAGCCTTGAAAATGGGTCAGCAATGTTACATTTTCCAGGTCTATAAATTTTTTTTATAGTCATACGACATCAATCATAGTCTCCATCTCTCGATTCTGGCGCAAGTTTTGAACTTGTCCCCAAAGATTGTTACCAAAGGTTTATGATCAGTAATAAGCCAGAAAAACTTTCCATACAGATAAAAATGGAATTTTTCTGGGGCCCATACTAAGGCGAGAGCTTCTCTTTCCGTTTGAGCGTATCGACGTTCAACTTCGGAGAGTGTTTTAGAGGCATGGCTTATTACTTTGAATAGACCGTCCGATCCTTTCTGGAAAAGCACTGCTCCAAGGCCAACTGGACTAGCGTCGGCTATTACAAAGGTTTCCAGATCAGGGTCGAAGTATGCTAATGTCTCCACTTTAGTTAAACTATTTTTCAACTGCTCGAAAGAAGTTTGCTGTTCCTAAAAAAAAAGTTTATATTTTCTGTTTATTAGTTGTCTGTTCTGAACATATATTATTATTATTATTATTATTATTATTTTACCTGCGTCCACTCAAATTTCTGTCCCTTCTTTGTAAGTGCATTCAAAGGACTACACAATGTGGAAAGGTGAGGAATATAACGCCCAACAAATGTTATCAGTCCCAGAAAACTTCGGAGTTCTTCCGCTGATTGGGGTGAACGAAATTTGGCAATAGCTTCAATTTTCTCACGTGAAACAGTGACGCCCTCAGCTGATAAATGAAATCCCAAAAACTCCAATTCACTTGCGCATTCTACAGTTTTCTGTTCGTTTAAAGCCACATTGTATTTGAACAACCTGTCCTTCAGAAGGTTAGACCTTTGCTTCAACGTAACCTCGTCAGGCGCAAAAATTAAGTTGTCGTCTATTAATATTATTAGCCATGGTAAATCTCCTAGCATTGATTCCATACATTTTTGGAACACTTCAGGTGCGGCAGATAATCCAAAAACTAGGCGTTTATAACGCATCAACCCTAATGGTGAAATGAATGTTGTTATGTATCGACATTTTTCATGGAGCATTAACTGATGGAACGCTTGTCTAATGTCGAATTTAGCGAAAACTTTGCTATTCTTCAATCGACTAACCATTTGTTCAAGAGTGGGTAAAGGATGAACTTCCCTTACTTATTACATTATTATTACATGCAGGCCTTATTAGCCTCTCTAAGGTCAACTTTTATTCTTACTTCATCTGCACTCTTACGCTTCACCAGCATAGGCGATACCCATTCTGAAGCTTCAGTGACACGTTCTATTACGTCTTGGCGCTCAAGTTCTTTAAGTTTAAGTAAAGTGAGCTCCTCAAGTGGGATAGGTATACGACGATACGCCTGCCTTACGGGTGGAATTGATTTGTCAATTTTGATGTTTGCACAATAGTCTTTAATACAGGGCAACACTTCATCAGCTACTGCATGTAGAAATTTAATGATTCCGAGAGCTTCTGCGGTATTACCAAAAGCGTTGAACCCAACACGTTTGAGGTTTTTCCAATCGTCAACGCTCAACACATCTTCATCAGCTCCGGTATCAATAACGAAACGAACACTTACTCCTCCGATTCTAGCATCCGCAGTACGTTTGCCTTCAAGATGAAAAAGCTCACGGATTTCCACCGTATTTGTCATATCATCCACTTCATGCACGAATTTCTCCTTCCGGTCATGATGATTCTGGATTCTGTTGTAGCCAGCTTTCTGAGTTGATCGGTTTTCGTTTGTTCGGAAATGTGGTGTTTTACAACACCGCGCATAATGTCCCAGTTTGCCACATTTGCTGCAACGAGAAGCTTTCGCAGGACAACGAGCATCATTGGCCAAATGGTTTCCCATGCACCTGGAGCAGGCAAACCTTCCTTTTTTCAAATCGTTTCCCACTACACCTACCGCATTTAGTTCAGCCAAAGGAACGGATTTCCCTCGAAGTTCTTGCAGCTGCGATTTCACTGATTCATGAGTGCGTGCGATTTTAAGCATGTCTTCCAGAGTAGAATCAGCTTCTAGGTACTTGGCACGAAGTTTGTCTTCATGTTGTGTAGCAAACACAATCTGGTCCATGATCATCTCGTCAACTTGATCACCAAAACTATATTGAGCGGCCTGCTCCTTCAAGCGAATCACGTATTTGTCAATTTTCTCATTCGGGTTGAACATAAGCTGACGAAATTTGAACCGCTCGTATCTCTGTGACATTTTTGGAGAGTAGTAGTTATCCAACACTTCCATAGCCAATCTGTAGCGGTTATCTAGAATAGCCGATTCGCACACGGTGACATCCCGTGCTATCTTTCGGACGTCTGGCCCACCGAAACACATTAGAGCCTTGAACATCTCATCGTGATCATCGATACCTTTCAAGATCAAATAGGAAACGAATTGATCTTTCCATAATTCCCAGCGTGTACTCGTTGATCCGTCGTCGATTTCAGAAAATGGGTGGATGTTGAAATTCAACTGTAAATTATTATTTATTTATTAGTATTAGTGTGAAAAATACTGACATGTTTACTCGTTAAGTTTGATTCTTGCTCAGCAACCTGTTTCCTCCTGTTTTGGAGTAATCAACAATTCGTATGAAGTTGTCATAGCAACGCCCAAAATTTTCCCATGTTTCGTTTAACGGACCGGAATTATGTATTCCCTTCGTTTTATTTTTTTCTAGCGCTACGGACCGGACTATTTTACATGGAATTTCCTTCATTTCTTTGTAAGAAATGGGCCGAAATTTCCATGAATCCCTTCGTTTGCTTGGACAGAAACGGGCCGGAAAATTCCCTTCGTTTCTAACCGGAGAGCAGACCGAAATTGCTTAATGACATTTCCTTTACTCTCTACTTTACTTATGGGCTCTGCATTATAGTTTCCCCTCACCGATTAAGAATTTTCTTCTTTATTTCACAATTTTTTTTAAACACCCAACCCCTCAAATTAATATCAATAGTATTGTTAATTACCGTAGCCATTTCTTCAGCACTCTGCCTTCCAGCTTTCCTTATTTTTCCGGATGATTTCCTCCGATCGAATTAAACTTTCCGGTTGGTTCGTCTCCGGACTCGTCGCCAATTGTAGAATCGTGATCTGCACTTGTGCTTTCGGATTATGGACGGTAACCAGAAACACAACTTACTGTAGAGAAAGTTCCACTTTTAATGAATTTATTCTCCCTTTCTTTTCTCTGAACCTCTGTATATCACAGCCTACTACATACAAGACGCTGATTAGACCGGTGGCCCTCTACGGCCACGAGACCTGGACTATGCTAGTGAAGGGCCAAATCGCCCTTGGTGTTTTTGAAGGGAAGGTGTTGCGTACCATCTACGGTGGAGTGCATATCGATGACAGAACGCGAAGGAGGCGAATGAACCACGAATTGCACCAGCTGCTGGACGAACCATCCATCGTCCACATTTAAAAATTTGGCGTCTACGGTAGGCTGGGACACACAACGACCCAGTAAAAATGGTTCTAGAAAGCGACCCAGCAGGAACAAGAAGAAGAGGCGTGCAGCGGGAAAGGTGGATCGACCAAGTAGAAGGCGACCTGCGGGCCCTTCGCAGACTACAAGGCTGGGGAAGTGTGGCCATGGATCGAGGAGAGTGGAGTCGACTTCTTCGGACAGCAAAGGACAACAAGGCCTTAGTCTGCTTGGTAAGGTAAATGAGTGTCAGATATCACCACAGGTGGATTAGTTCAGGCTTTTCCTAAAGCAAAGTTTCATGCAAATCTGAGAAGGTCAAGTCAGGTTTTTTTTACCTTTTTGGCCTATTCCCTGGCGCTTATTATAAATATCGTTGAGAGAAAGATAAATCTTAAGAATGTGGGCAACTATCGAATAACAAAGCTCTATTTTAAGTAGCTTCACCTTGATAAATTAATACACTTATCCGCGAAGCCACAACAGTCTAGACTGTTTCCGTTTGCAAGTAAAGCAATTGCGCCATTTAACACATTCCATCACAAAGAAACTTTCATCGATATCCATTAACTTACCATAAAGCAGCAAACAGCGGACCCAATACTTGCACCCAGTGCATCGTCGCACCAAAAATTATGACCAAACATTTCCCATTTACGTGACCGAAAAGTTGCCCTTTGTGGAACTTACTCGGTACTGATGATGTCCCTTTGTTCCTCCACTTGTTTGGTCTGACTGCAATCGACAAACATTTGGAAATTTGGAGCAAAAAAAAAAGTGCAGACGTGTCGATTTCGGTGCATCACAAATATCGGCTGATCCCGATTTCTTTCCGGTGTCTGCCTTGGAAAGAGGGGGAGGGCGTCAGGCGAAAGCGAAAGTGGGACGCGTCGTCTGGACTCGGTTAGAAATTTACCAACATAAAGAAAACTAGTCGAATACTCCACCTTCAACTCTACCGATTCGAAGAGAGTGAGGAAATCTAAGCTCGTAAAGAAAGGGAAAAACTTCAATTATTGCTTTGTGCGGGCAAGCTGAATCAATAGTGATTTTTATTGGCTAGAGGGTTTAGGTGTTTACGGGGGTAGTTTTCCGGTCAGTTGAACGAATTCAATCGCTGAGCTGCAGTTAGCCGTTATACGATTCCGATTTGACTTTTTCTCTCGGGCTGCAGAGACCTTTGTACTGCGGGTTCTGACCGGTTTCACACTTGGAGCCCGTCTTTCCTTTCTTGTAGATTGGTTCTTTAATCATGTTGGTCATCGAGTAGTTACAAACCAAGTAGTAGTTGATAAATTTCCCGTTGGTAATATAATGCGTCAGCGAGCATCCAACCTTCCATGTGCGATCGCTTATGATCTGCGTGAAATGACCGATTTGAGGTCTGAAATAAGAGAACGTTATTTGAGAACGGAAAAACCAGCGATATGATATCTTACCCTTGATGATTCATCGGATAGCTATCGACATATGAAGGAGGGCAATCCTTGTATTCATTGAACCATTCCAGAGTAAAGTTCACTACGCGATCCTCTGGCGTGAATTTCATCCCGTAATAGGTGGTGATGGCAAGATTCTGCCCGGAGTACTTGAATTGTTGAGTGTTCCTGCACTGATCGTGAGCAAAAATGCACTTTCTGGCATTGAACGATGCAATGTTAGCCATTTCTTCGTCCCACACCAGCGTCGGCATTCGAGCGGCCTGCGGAAAACCGTACATTCCTCGAGCTATCTGAGCGCGGAGTTCGTTGTGCTTGTTCAGGATAATTTTCTGCATATTGGCGTTCATCGGTACAAACTTCACCTCCTTGCCGCATGCCTGTCCAAATCCCCGAGGAGCATTACACGCGATGTGTTGTCCCCGTCGGCACAAACTTGGATCGCAATAGTTTGAATAGCACGATCCAACGCATATGGCAAGCGTGATAAATACAACTGAAGATTTGAGATATTAGAAAATGAGTGGTGCAAGGTGCACAGTAATTATTTACCAACTGATTTCGAACTCATGCTGAAGCTACGACTAATACGATCGCTGGAATGACGGATGAAAATTGCTCTGTTCATTTTATAGGAACTTGTGTTTACCATGCACCCTTTCAAGTCTGGATTAGAAAAGCCTTCAATAATGGTGCCACTTTTATAAAATTATGAATTTTAAAAGTTGTTACTGATTGGATGTGTCTACTTTCGAAACCAGAATTCAGGGTAATATGGAAAATGTGTTTGTTTTACAAATGAAACCAAATTCATCCGATGCGAAATGGTTGAACTTGTTTTAGAACAGCTGCACCGCCACGTGTGTTGGTAGAACGATTTGCGATAGTTGGTCTGTTTGCGGCTCAGATGTGATGCTATGCAATAGACAAATAATCAACACTGAATGCATTTTACGCACAAACAGCAAATGCAAAGTAAAGCAAAGAGGATGATGCAGCGACTGCTTTACTTGCTCATTTATATTTTCTTTTTATGCACAGTCGTTTTATGATTTGGCAATGATTTTTTTTATGAATTGGTATTTAAAAAGAGGAAACTGCACAGATAAAAATTCTGAATTTTAATTGTGATGTAAACATTCATTCACGTAGACTTGTATTGCATTTCACGCAACCGAGCAACTTGTAAACAATGTTGTTTCCAAGAATGGGCTTTTGTATACAATATGTGCTACATTGTATGAAATGTGTCAGAACTTTACATGATATATAATGTAAACGTATATGATATGTAACGCTCCATTTATGTGCATCATATTGAACAGAAATTTACACTACTTTTTCGAACTGTGTGATAAGACGATTGGTTCCGTTGTACTTTGTTCATAGTAAATAGGATAGTTATAATTTCTCCAAATGTTTCCCTTTCATTTAGTTTAAGTGTCGTGTTCAGCGTCCGGTAGAACATTTACCGTTATTGGGTAGTAAACGAATCCACCCGATATCCACACAGTTCGAAAAAGTAGTGTAAATTTTTGTTCAGTATGATGCACATAAATGGAGCGTCACATATCATATAAGTTTACATTATATATCATGTAAAGTTCTGAGACATTTCATGAAATGTAGCAAATATTGTATACAAAAGCCCATTCTTGGAAACAACATTGTTTACAAGTTGCTCGGTTGCGTGAAATGAAATACAAGTTTACGTGAATAAATGTTTACATCCGGAGAACTTTGAGATTTGGACGTAATTGCTTTTGTAAACAAACACGTCTATCGCCGATTAATCGTAAATTGAAACTTATTATCGCGAACAAACCATACTAAATGATAAAGGAATCATTTCTCTACCTGTTTGTGCCGTTAATTTTTTAGATTGAGCTTTAATTTGCGAGAAATTGGCGATTGACGTGTTTGTTTACAAAAGCAATTACGCCCTAATCTCAAAGTTCTCCGGACATCACTATTAAAATTCAGAACTTTTATCTGTGCAGCCTCAAGTAATGTTTTACGTTTTATTAAGTACTACAAGACTACTTTTAAAAAAAACATTCTTAAAACCTGGTCAAGACAGATTTGCCTTTATTACATCCACCAAAACCTCATTAAGGCTAGATTCTGTCTAGTTGGCCCACCCTGAAGAAGCTTCTGAAGAGTGTATTTTCGAGACACTTCAAAACTGACTTGCTGCATATGACGATAGCATTGAGAACCATTTGAAAGCCATATTTTAACGAAAATAAAAGCCATTTGGCATACATAAATCCAAATATTATAAATTAACAATATGGTTCACTTCCAGAATTCCCATATGTTTCTGAAAATACGCATAAGTAATACCCTCTCCCAATGCATACATTTGTATATTGTGTGGCAAGCACAATGATACTCTATGCCCAGGGAAGTCGTGAAAATTTCCAACCCGTAAGATTCCCTCGACCGGACCGGGAATCGAATCCGCTGCCTCCAGCTTGGTAATACCATGCCTTTACTGATTAGGCTATGAGGCCCTTAACACAGTAACAGTTACTCATTAATCAGTAACAGATGCTCATAAATGGGTAAAACTACTAATACTAGTTAAGCCACTTTTCTCCAAAATGGACCTTTTTAACTTATTAATGGGTACTTTCAAGTTAGCGTGTTGGATACCTCGTTCCCCAGCAACATGTGCAAAGGCATACAAGCCAAATGTAAGTAATGCATTTAAACGTCGGTTGTTGCTGAATTACAACACGCTCTCTCAAACTAACTATATCATCTGATAGAGCAAATTATCTCTCAGATGCTGGTGTCGGTTTGCCAGATTGAGTCTATATTCACAAAAAAACAATGTTCATAGTCATTGTTTACATTTGGTAAATAGGCCTTTTTTACATGTTTCTCTAGTTACTAGCTTTCACATTTCGTGAAAAAAACGCTTCTTATGTGCCTTTATTTTTATACAGGGGGGAATCTGCTCCCAGACACCTGAGAAGATAACTCAGGGTGTGGGGATGGGAGAAGTAGCGCTCCCGACCCTCTAAACCTTACCCTGTGCTATTGGCCCTTGCCCTCCCCGGAACCGCCCGAAAGCATTACATCATGGGAGGGGGCCGGTTGCGCTATGGCGCAACACACTAGTGGTGTGTCACAGACGTGACACTCGCTTATTGCACAGTGAGCAGCTGTGCAGGGCCTTCCACTTGTTGTTCGCTGTTAATTGTTCGCCTGAGTTCTAGAGCAGACGTGATAGCCAGCCAACTGTCCATGGCATCACAGGACAGATGTGACCGCTTACCAGCTGCGTGTGCTTAGCACTCTAAGAACCCGGTGTCACTCCTGGCTTTGCACAACGAGGGTTCGTGCAGGGCTTATCGACCTCCTGGGACGAGCTGGATGGGGCTCCAGCGTCCGTACTCTGCTGTAGTTCGTTTAGTCGCAATATCTCTCCCTTTTACAGTGGCCGGAAGTCGGACAAAACCTCAAAAATTGACTTCATTATTTTATTTTTCTTATTCTAAGAAAATCCTAAATTTTCAAGTCATTTGGTCAAAAATTGAGTCTTGGGGATTTTTTCAAAGTTGAGGTTCGTGTGATAGTTTTTCAATTTTTATTCTCTTTATTTTATGAGCTTTCTTCATGAGCTCGTTGTAAAACATTGGAAAATTTGGATAATCTGACAATACTGTAGGTGTTTTTAGCATTAGCATTAGCATCGAACAAGTTGCACAATATCGTAGGTGGTACGAATTCAAAACTATTAAGAGCAAGACGGATTTCTGTAACTGGACAGATAGTAAGTAGGAAATAAATACTATCTCCCAGATAAAGAAACATCCCGCTCCAACAGTTAAGGATTGTCCTGGCCACGTCCTTACAACTGGTAGGGATAGGAAAGGTATGTTAGTCCAACATTTACTTAAGAGAGATGCAGAGAACTCTACGACCCCTCATAAATGTCTCGGGAATTTAGGAATTATGTTAGTAGGGAAGGTAAGCCATAGGATACACCCAGTCAGTGTTGCTGGCATATGTAGATTTTTTTTTTATAAATTTGAAATTGCTGTCTGCTGGAATAAAATGAAGATATGACATGGTGAACTCACCATCTTTGTTACATTCGTAGCTGAATAATAGGAAGGAATTATGATGTGTTGAATATATTTTTTTATTGATAGAGGGGAAAACCCGCGGGAGTGAAAATAATTTAACTACCTCTTCTCCCGTAGGCACAAAACCTCTATGTCTTTTCCAGTTAAATTATAATCAGTTACAAATTTCAACAATAAAACATTTTTCAAGTGGAAGCAATAAAGTTAGCAGATTCAAGATGATGGATGACATGTACGATAGATGGCATGGCAAAACTCCCGCTGAGGTGTCTTCAAGGTTCCATCGCGATCGACATTAATCTGAAAGATACAAATTATGCTGCAACAAATTTGCTATTATTTGCATACTTCTACAATAGTGTAACTTTCAAACCAACAAGACCAAGTAGATAAATAAACTTGAAGGTTTGAGGCCTCGATCGCAGTCCTAAAATAAGGGTGTTAATTAAACTGTAATGTTCTGTAAAAATAAAATAAAATGGTCAACCGATTTCAAATTCAATTTGGTCGATGTAGTGTTATACGGTAGATGATATTGAGGAGAAATTATTTAGTTATACTGCATAAAAAAATAATAAAAATAATTACAAAAGATAACATTAGTATTAGCATTAATCAATATCACAATAAACATAATTAAAAGTATGCAAAAACTGCAATACAGTGTAACCATGATTGATGTTTTGTTTATGTGGAGTCAATGTGAGAGTATATTATGGTGATGATTTCAAAATGCTATTTATCATCTTATTTTAACGATGCTGTTGGATTTGATATTAAATAAGATTGTATGTGATGTGAGATGGATTGTAATCATGTGCAGAGAAAAAAAAATCACATAGGAAAGAAGGTGATACTTAAACATAAATATTGCTTATATTAATATGTAAGTTCCTATAGAAAATGATCTAGTACGAGATGTAACTTTGGAGCATTAAATTTGAGGCTTGTTTTTGAAGATCCAACATATAAACATGTTATTAAAGGCCCTCCTATCAAAAGTTTATCATTTGTAATTTCTGGTATTTATTATTAACTATTTTTGTTTATTCTTATGATACCTACTTAAAACACATTACAAACTAGTATAATATTTTAAAGATGAGTTTTGGGTAAGGTTAGATAAAGTTTAGAATCGATTTACACTCATATCTATTAATAAGCTTATAAGTAAGTTCCTATAGAAATGATCTAATACGAGATGTAACTTTAGTGCGTTAAATTTGAGGCTTGTTATTGAAAAAAAAAAAAAAATGAAAATCCAACATATGAACATATGATTAAAGGCCGTCCTATCAAAAGTCTATCGAAACTAATTTGTATCATTTGTAAATTCTGGTAATTATTATTAACTATTCTTATTTATGCTTATGATACCTACTTAAAACACATTACAAACTAACTAGTATAGAATTTTAAAGGTGAGTTTTGGGTAATGTTAGATGAAGTTTAGAATTGTCTAACACTCATTTCTATTAATAAGCTTATTATATAACTAATTAACATTGACATTGACAGCGTCGTTGTTTGGCAGACGAGCATT